GTGAGGGCGCACCAGGCGGGGTCCGGGCAGGCGGCCGGCCCTCAGCAGTGGCTGCGGGGGCCCAGGCCGGCCAGTAGCTAAAGCCACCGGCTCTGAGGCACAAGGGGAGTCCCGAGGGAGGGCGTAAGTGGCTGGGAGCAGTAGGGAGCCGCATTAAGCCGCCGAGCGCGCGGGTGGAGGGAGGCCCTGGCTCTGCCAGGCGAGCAGGGTGAGGCCTGGTGAGGAGGCGCCGGCCGGCGAGGCTGCGAGGCCTTCATGCCGCCGGCGGCCTGGGGGCGCTGGTGCAGGAGGCGCGGGAGCTGGGCGGGCGCGCCTGGAGCACGGGTGGCATGCGCGGGGGTGGGCGCCTGAGCTTCGAGGTGGGGACGCCGGCAGTGTCAGCGGCAACGGCGAGGCTGAGCAGCGTGGCGGCCGGAGAGGCGAGGCCCCGAGAGACAGCGACACAGAGACCGGGGCAGCTCCAAAGATTCGCGGGGGCTGGGAGGCGCCCCCGCCCCACCTGCCTGCCTGCAGCCTGCAGCCCTCAAGTCCCTGGGGGTACCCGCGGGGTCCGGGGAGCGGCAGCGGCTGGGAGGACGGTGAGCGTGCTTTGCGCCGGGGCCGTGGGGCGCCCGTGCTCCCTGCGGGTCGGGAGGGCGCCTGACTCCCGCCCAGGCTGGCGGAGCAAAAACAAACGGGTACACATGTACCCCGGTGTGAGGCGTCTGCTCCCTCAAGCAAACAGTCACCGCATGATTCGGCAATGGCTCTTGGACAGACGCGAAAGCTGAGAGCAGGACGTGAGGGCCCTGGCACCTGGCGCTCGGGCAGCCTGATCCCGGGCCGGGGAGGAGGAATGGGTATGCCAGGTGGAACCAGCCTGTGGGGAGTACTATGCAGCCCCGAAAAGGACCCGGCGCAGAACACCATGCGCTCACCTCTTATCCCTCTTGGTGGCAACTGCCCGCCCCGGCGGTGGGCTATTAAAAACAGAGCGAAAGGCCACCCGCAGGCTCCCGCGCCAGCCGCCCACGGCCCAAGGCCCCTGGCACCAATCCAGCGTCCTGGACTCCTGTCTCCGAGGCCCCCCGCCGCCGGCCACCGCTGGTCTCCCCGGAGCAGAGGTGAGACGGGGGCGCCGCCTGGATGTCCTCTCAGCAGGGTGTGCGCACAGGGCGGAGCCACGCGCCAGACCCATCCCCGCCTCGGGGACATGGCTGTCCCGTCTGGGCTTAATCACCTTAGCCCATAGGTGCGGCTCACCGTCTTAATCCCCGCCGAGCCGTGCGGGAGCTTCCACTTAGAAGCCCGAAGAATTGGCGCTCCTGATCGGATCCAGGGTTTGGTCTGAGAAAGAGCTAGAGTAATGCCGTGAGGACAGCGGGTGGGTCGCGAGCACACGCTGGTGGCGCTTCCGGGAAAGGTAAAACCACTTTCCCTGGAGACCGAGCTGGGTGTGACATGGCGTCCAGCAGCCGCCCACTCCGCCGAGGCCGGAGCCCGTCCTGGGCCCCGCTCCCGTCAGGCAGGCCCTTCGCCATGGCCAGCGCCCGGCCCCGCCCAGCGCCGCGCCAGGGGTCCTCGCCTCTGAGCACAAGTCCGGCTCTCCATACACGGCGGCATCTTGGCTTTCAGACTTTTCAGACTCGAAGCCAACTGCCCCCTTCACGGGGGGCTTTCCCGAAGGGGGGTGCGGGAGACCCCACAGCTGCCCCTCCGGGGTCTGGGCCCCAGTCTGCCGAGCTCTGACGCTGTGGCCTTCCCGCCGCCTTGCTGCAGGGGCCGCTGGACGCTGGGGCTGAGCCTCGCACGGGATGCCGACGCGGAAGCGGAGACCACGCCCCTCGGGGTGGCTCTGGGGCGTCGCCACCCGCGTCTGGCGCCCCGGTCTGCTAAAGGGTCTTTGTGGGGTGCTGCTCCTTCACCCTCACGCGAGTCCTCTCCGCCGGCAGTGGGGCCTAGGCCCGGCCTTGGCCGGCGCCTGGCGCCCTGACGCGGGCATCTGCACAGATGGGGCTGGCCCACCAGGGGAGCTTGGCAAGGAGCTGCCACCCCCGGGGGCCGCCAAGGCCTGGCCTGCCCACTGCTGAGGCCTGCCCACCTTACCACCGAGGCCTGCCCACCTCACCGCCGAGGCCTGCCCACCTCCGAGGCCTGCCCACCTCACCGCTGAGGCCTGCCCACCGCCGAGGCCTGCCCATCTCACCGCTGAGGCCTGCCCACCTCACCGCTGAGGCCTGCCCA